AGACAGAGGGAGAGGTAGGCTCCCTGCTGAGCAAGGAGCCCATGTGGGACTAAATCTTGGGATCATGACCTGAGTGGAAGGCAGACACTTAACCAGCTGAGACACACAGGTGTTCCAGTAGTTTCTCTGACTCTGTGCCAGGCTCGGTGCCAAACTTTGGACACTGAGGTTTTCTGCCCTCCGACATCTCTGTGGGGTGGGGGGGAGATGGAGGCGTCCTAGGAAAAGCTTGGAAAGATCTAGAACGGGCAAGAGGGATGATGGTAAAAATCTTGCTGCTGTTTCTGTATGTGTCTGTGGGAGGGTTGACATCACCTCTCTTGTACTCACCTTTCCCCCGCAGGGAAAGCCCACTTCTGCCAGGACCGTTTCTACTGGCGTGTGAATTCTCAGCACGAGGAGAACCAGGTGGACGAAGTGGGCTACGTGACCTTTGACTTACTGCAGTGCCCCGAGGATTAGGGCTTCCCATCCTGCTTTGGCACTGCAGAGAAGATCCTAGGGGGGCCATCCCAATGGCGAAGGAGCCAGTTTGCCGGATACGAACTGGTGGGTTTGTTCTGGAGGACACGGAAGAGTCGAGGTGGGCTGGGCCCCTCTCTTTCCACCTTCCTTTTTTGCTGGAATGTTTTTAATAAACTTGGATTCTTTAACCTTGAGGAGGAGATTTATTTATGTATGTATGTGTGTATGCATGTAACAGAGAGCTTACTCTGTGCCAGATACTGTCCTAAGCACTTCATAAATATTAACATTCATTCTCCCTATTAGGAAGATATAATGTGATTACTTCTATTTTACAGCTGGGGAAATGGCCAACCTATTATTCATTCATCAAACATTTATCGAGCTCCTGAGTGGAGCCAGGCATTGTGCTGGGTACTGGGGAAGGAGAGATGAGCTGGACTATGTTTCTGTCCTCAAGGACCTCTCGGTGTCTTCCAACTTTAGGTACATAAGCGTGCCCTTAGAACCTGCTTAAAATGCAGACTCCAGGTTCAGTCTCCAAAGAGTCCCGCTCAGTTACCATGATGTTTTGTCTGGTGGGGGTGGGAATCACACTTGGAGGGTGTGCAGCATGTGGCCCTTTTCTCTAGAATCATGGTGCGTATATGTGATTCTGAATGTGATATGTGATTCTGTCACGGTTGAAGTCAGGGAACATTTCTCAGCCAAGATGACACCTGAACTTGAACTGAATCTGGAAAGGTGAGCGGGAGTTTCTTTCTGTTCAAGCAGAATAGTCTTCTTAGGGGGTAATTTACCAGAAACCGTTACACCTAGAAATGTCCTATGCTACCTCTCACACACATGCGCATAAAACAACAGACACAGGGACGCTGATTGCAGTATGGCTCATAGAGTGAGGAATGGTAACATCTGAAGTGTACAGAGGTCAGGCAGCGGATGAATGGAATATGGTTGATATACATGATGGTAGTGGCTACCGTTCGCCCAACACTGACTCTGTGCCAGACACTGTGCCGTGGGCTTTATGCGTGTCAACGCCACTAATCCTTAATACAACCCCACGAGGCAGGTACTGCTCTAACCGTATGGGTATTATTGCCATCACTCCCTCCTCCCATTTTACAGATGAGGTAACTGAGGCACACAGAATTACACAGCTCAGCGGAAGTCCTATAGCTGGTGACTGCTGGCAGTGGGATTCGACTGCCAGCTCTTGGGGCAAAGGCGGGAGAAGAGAAAAAGCAGGGTGGGTGTTTGGGGGAAGGACAGATGGCTCTAGTGTGTGGTTTTAGGAAGCAGATGGAAGCCAAGAAGAGACGGATTCTTGAATGGTTGAGGGGAATGGTGGTCTGGACTAGACGAGACAAGGTCCAAATGCCAGGGTGAGGAGCAAGGACGTGATCCCACAAGACGGACTTGACCGGAGGGTTGGGGCAGGTGAACGGAGCTGACGGGCATGTTGATTGCCTTCTGGACTCAGGCCCAAGCAGGAGTTTGAGGGACTCGGAGAACTTCCTCCCGGGCTTCCTTTGGGTAGATTCAAACCGCCTTGTCCATTTCTGCTGAGGAATGACCCATTCCCAGGGGCATGCCCCCGTTCCTTAATAGGGCTTGTTGAAAGCCCCTCTGAACCTCTCTCTCTCTCTCTGGACACTGTTCCATCTCTCTACCTCTCACTCCCACCCACAGTAAAACTTCTCCAAAGTATAGTCTCCACTTCTTCAATTTCCATTCTCTCTGCAACCACTTCCAACCGAACTCCCACCCCACCACACTGCCGAAATCATTCTTTTCTAAGCCACCTATGAACTTCCTGCAGCCAGATGTGATGGCCCTCTGGGCTCATCCCACACATCTCTCAGCTTCTTTGACACAGTAATGCCATTCTTTGTCTTTCTAACCTCTAGATGATAGCATGTCCTTGCGCTCAATCACAGGGAATCCATTCCCTGTGACCTCGCCTAGACTTACAGCTTTATATCTCTCTACTAAAGACTCCGCAGTTTATACACCCAGCCTTAACCTCTCCCCTGAGCTCCAGACTTGTATGTTCAAGGGAGACTTGCATGATCTTTACGTGCCTGAGAGTCTCCTCAACCCAACAGGTCCAACTGAACTCTTGGCATCCATCTGCTGAATGTGTTTCTTTGTCAATCATCACTACCTCGAAAAGAATGACATTATCTGCTTTCAATCAGTCTTAGAACCTGATCAGTCCTAAAATCTAGGTATTGGTTAAACTTCTTATTCTAGTACAGCTTCTCAACCTGAACACTATGGACATTTCAGGCCAGATAGTTTTTTTAGTGGTAGGGAATGTTGTAGGAATGTTTGATATGTGGGGGCAGTGGGATCAGGGATAGATGGCAGACCTGCTCAGGGTCAGTCCTCCTCTCCCAACATTGGGTCCCAATGTGTGTGGGGGGGAGTGTAGAAGGGTAATGTGGAACCCTTGGCTCATGGCCAGGCTGAATTGGTGCTAGCCTAGATGGCACATGTGACTTATCCCCGCTCGATGTCAGGAACACCGCCCTCCAGTTGTGACAATCAAAAATATCCTGAACATTGTTAGGTATACCCTGTTGGGAAACACTAGCCCCAGCTGAGAACTATTGCTCTAACAGAATAAACATAAAGACAAATCCACATGCCATAAGTGTAAATTTCAGTAAATTTCCACATACTGAACACAACTGGGTAACCCACATCCAGATCAAAAACCAAAACACTATAGCACCCTAAAAGCTCCTCTCCTGCTCCCTTGCGATCGCTATCCCTCTACCCTAAGAGTTACCACCATTATTTCTAACAGCTTAGATAGATTTTGACTAGTTTTTACTTTAAATAATATTTTACAGTATATAGTCTTGTGTCTGGCTTCTTCTGCTCAAGATTACATTGTGATATTCATCAATATTGTTTGTGAATTATAGATTGTGCATTCATACTATAGCTTTCCACTATGTGAATGTCCCACTGTTTATCCATTTATTATTTTTTTTAATTTACTCATTTTATGGTTAATGGGCATTTGGGTAGTTCTCCATTTGAGGTTATTATGAATAATGCTGCAATAAACATTCTTGTAAATGTCTTTTGGTGAACATGGGCAGCCATTTCTCTGGGGCATATACCTAGTATACCTCATACAGAAATTAATGGTGCAATTAGAAATATATTGAGAAATTGCATAAGTAGAAGTAGGATACTGTGTATTCAAATGTATTAAGTCTTACTTAATACTTACTTACTCATACAAGTGCTTTGGCAAGGCACATACCTGGGGGTGGAATTGCTGGGAAGACAGGTATATGAATGTTCGGCTTGAGCAGTTAGGATTGAACAATTTTCCAAAGTGGTTCTTCCCATCTGTGCTCTCACCAGCAATGTGCGACAGTTTCCAGGCATCCTTCTTGACTCCTCTTTCCATCCCACACAATGTTCAATTCAGCAACAGGTTCTGTACGTTCTCCTTCCAAAACATACCTTGAATTGGATGGCTGCCACCACTCTCGTCTGGCTTTTACCACCTCTCGCGTGGGGCTCTGCAGGAGCTACCTCCCCAGAATCCCAGTTTCCACTCCTGGTCTGGAGACTTCATGCAACAGCCAGAGCGATCCTGTTAACATAGAAGTTAGATCACATCCCTCCTCTGCTCAAAAACTTTCAATGTCTCCTCTCTGAAGCCTTCAAGAGGCCACATGATCTTCCTTCCTCCCCTCCCTCATCTCCTATCACTCTCACCTCAGTTCACCCTGTTCCAGACACGTTGGCCTTCTTGCTGCTCCCTGAACAATCCAGGCTGCTTTTCCATCCAGGTCTTTCCTCTTGCTGTGTTCTCTGCCAGAGAGCTCTTCCTCCAGATCTTTGCATAGCTGGCTCCTTCTCATCAGGGAGGTTTCAGCTCAGGTATCACATCTTCTGAGGAATCTTCTTAGACCACCTTCTAAAGTAGTCCTTTCCCCTGGTCATTATCCCTGGGCCCTTTTTTTTTTTTTATCCTTAACATATACCAGAATCCCCAATCATCTTGTCTATGCGTTTGCTCACTTACAATCTTTCTCCCCTCACTCCTCATTAGAATTTAAGCCACACCAGGGCAGGAAGCCAGTAGATCTCAGTCAGCGCTGTGTCCCCAGTGCCAAGGACCGTTGCCTGAAACACAAGAGAGCTATCAAACTGCTTTGAATGAATGAATGAGTGAATAAAACCTAGGTGTTTAGGAGATCCCAGCAGAAGCGGGCCCCGGCTCCAGGAGCCAGACACTGGAGCTCCGGTGTAGGGACAGTTCTCAGCTGCAGGTGGGATCCTCAGGCGCTTCCAGGAATTGAGAGCCCAGGGACTTGGAGTGAGATGGTCACGTTCTGAGGCTCAGCACAGCGGGCACTAGGACCCTGCGCGGCGCCGCGCCCGGTGGGGGGCGGCGGACGGGAGGGGGGGGAATCCGCTCTTTCTGTCTGCTGGAGCCAGGCTGCAGACACTTGTGCGATCTGGGCCCGTACTGCCGCTGCCCGGTCCCTTTCCGCACTATGAGCCGCAGGTTCACTGTCACCTCACTGCCCCCCGCGGCGCCCGCCGGGACCTCTGACTTAGAGTCCCACCCGCATTCGGCAACCGGTCTCCGCCACCTCTCTGGGGAAGACGCCAAAGGTAGAGGCCGCAGGGGGCGGGGCCTGCCGGAGTGGGGCGGGGCGAGAGAAGAGGCGGGGCCATGGTGGGCGGGTCTTCTTTTGGAAGGGGCAGGGCCGGGGTTGGAGGTTGGGGGTCTCAGCCGAGGGCTAGAGAAGGAAGAAGAGCGGACCTAACCGGGAGGGAAGGAGGCTGGACGGCAAATGGTGAAGGGAGGGGCCAGACTCGAGGTGGGCGGGGCACAGGGAGGGGGTGGGGCTATAGGCGAAGGGGCGGATCTTGTGATGGAGGGGCTAGGGTCAAACGAGGGCTGAACTGGAGAGCACTTAAGGGGCGGGGTCATTTCGGGTAGGGGGCGGGGCCAGAGGGAAGAAGGTGAAACCAGGGAAAGGGGAGGGCCATATGATTAAGGGGTGGGTCCAAAGGCAATGGGAGGAGGCAGGACTGTCTGTTTGGGGGCAGAAAAGGGCGGGAGCAGAGAGGAAGGGGTCGAGCCAGGAGAATAGGTTGGGGTTAAGGGCTGGAGGTAAAATGAGTCCGGGACGCTTGGTCTGGTGCTGGCTCAGCAGGTTTTTGGGGCCTGGAGGATCTTCCAGTCCTCGGCCTCCCGAGAGACGTCGCGGACAGCGCCTGGGGATCCCGGGGAGGAGACGGGAGCAAGATACGTTACTTTTGGGCAGCTAAATCTTGGGAGGATTCTGTGGGGGTCTCCGGTCCCGACCCGTGGGGACCCAGTTAAGTCCCTCTGCTCCAGCTCCAGAAAAGGGTTAGGTGGAGCAAGCTCAGGCTAGATTGGGGGCGTCCTCCTCGAGGACCCATTGCTGGGTCTTGCCATGGAAGTTACAGGCAGGGTACACAAGAGGGGAGGTGAAGGATCCATCTAGCTTTCAGTAAAGAATCAGTATCCTGGATGCATCCACAGTCTTCTCTTCAGGGGGCACTTGTCAGGAGTCCCCTTCCTGACCCTGCGCCTCTCAGGTCTGGAAGAAACGCTGCCAATCTGCTTGGAGTGGCCCCAGCACGGGGAGGAGGAAGAGCCTCCCCGGGCCGCCAGGGGTCGCTGCTGAGCCGCAGGTGAGCTCACTCTGCAGCCAAACTAATCACCAACAGCCCTGAAGGGGGCCTTTTGGGGTGGGGGGGTGCTTTGGCGAAATCCTGCGTTGTGTAGATGACCAAACTGAGGCCTAGATTTCCTCAGGCCTCCAGCCCCTGAACCAACCGCCTCCTGGACGTGGCCACTTGGATTTCTTGGGCTCCTTCCATTCTTCCTATTTCCCTGTAAACTGTCTGCCTCCTTTCTCATTTTTTCTCATTTTCATGAATGTCCTTTCCATCCTTAGAGTTTCAAAAGTCAGAACTCTAGGAGCTATTCTGAACGCTTCCTTTTCTTTTCCCACCGGATCTGGTTGGTCCTCACGCGTTGGCTGACCCACCCCCAAAACTAATCCTAACTCTCTTCTCTCTCTTCTGGTCACCATCACTCTGTACAAACCTCCATCATTTCTCACATGGTCAGGGCCACAGCCTCCTCGTTGGTCTACCTGCCTCGGATTCTGTCCTAACCACCCTCCACACAAGCTCCCCATAGCTTTTAGGATAACGACCAATGCCATAGTCTTGTCATTCAAACTCTTTCCTCATTTGCTCCTGGGCATACCTGTCCGTGTTCACCTTCTCACCTCCATTAGCTGGGGAAACTCCTACTTACTCTGTAGCTTATGGCTCATTGCACCTCTCCTGAAAACCTTTCTCCCTTTTCCTTGCTTCCAGGCAGAGGCTGTCATTCCTCTTCTGCCCACCCACCGCACCATTAGAGGACATGTCCCAGTGGATGGAAGTTATTTACTTGTGTGGCTCCTCCAACTTAAAAGCAGGGACCATTTCCTTTTATCTTAGTGTTCCGAGTTGCAAGCCCACAGCCCGGCTCTTGGTAGGTGCTTAATGTCCATCAGACCAGAGAGGGAGGGCTGCAAGCTCCTACTTCTCCTACCCTTGCCTTCTCTCCTCCCATTCCCCATCCCCTTGCCCGAGAATAAGGTGGCCCTCTCTCATTCCTACGTGATCGACATGTCTTCCCATTCCCATTTCCAAGCTCCTCTCTGTTGAAGTAAAAGATGGCTCCCAGTTTGGGGGTGTGCAGGTGTGCGTGCTAACTGGATGTGAATCTAGAATGCGGCAGAGGCAGTGTGCATGTGTCTTCGTGTGTCTGGAGGGAGGAGCATCCCACATGAGCTCTGATGGCCAGTGGGGCGGTCAGTGCTTATATGTGTCACTGCATTCCAGTATGTTGATGGGCATGTGTAAATTCCTGTGGGGTGGGTACCTGTGTGCATGAGTTTATGTAAGTTTCCTCTTTTTTTTTTAAACATTTTATTTATTTATTTAAGAGAGAGACAGTGAGAGAGCGTATGAACGAGGAGAAGGTCAGAGGGAGAAGCAGACTCCCCGTGGAGCTGGGAGCCTGATGTGGGACTAGATCCCGGGACTCCAGGATCATGACCTGAGCCGAAGGCAGTCACCCAACCAACTGAGCCACCCAGGCACCCTATAAGTTTCCTCTTGAGAATGATTTGGGTCACTTTTAACCTCTTTCATGCCTGAGAGGTGCCTCCAGGCCTTCCTCCTTGGTAGGTCACTGCACAGAGAAGTAGACAAGGGCACTCTAGGGGAACCGAAATCTGGCGATATCTTTCCTGCAGCTGTTCTTGTGTCAGCCCTCTGGCCCCAAGGAGATGTGGTCCCCACCTCCTGTCCTCACTCAGGCCCATTGGGGAGAAAAGGCAGCCTGTGGAAAGTGGGGAAGGGTTGGGAGAGGTTTGGCAGGTCGCTTGTGCATGAGCACGGTCTTTAATTCTGGACCCAGGGCGTGGGGTTTGCTCCTGGAAGTGCCTCCTGCTGCCACGGGACCGACCAACTGTAGTGGGGACGTAACTGACAACGGATGGGGGTGAAAGAGACAAGTCCGAAGCTGAGCCCTGAATCCACCACGATCCCTGGCAGCAGCCCCTGTACCTCAGTTGTCTCCTCTGTACTATGGAGAGGTTGATGATGACTTAGCTGGACAGAAGTGGACTTGGGGCCAGTTATTACTACTCTGAGCGATTCCTGCCCCCATTATACCACTTTCCACTGTGCCTCTGTTTCTGGTGGAGCAAGACAGGGCACTGGAAAGAAACATGGGCCTGGATTAAGACTAACAGGATCTGAGATGTGTTCCCACAAGTGAGAAGGAGCTGACTTACGCTAGAGAGATGGAACAAGACCCCAAAATAGCCCATCCACGCTCTTCGCTGGGGCTCTGTGGTGTCGCCTTAGGGCACGTTGGTTTCCCTGTCTGAGCCTCAGTCTCCTCGTCTGTAGTCCAGAGGAGGTGAACAGGAAGTTATCTGAGGGTCATGCTAGCCGTAAAAATGCTAGGATTCTTTGGTGGTCTAGAAGGGTGAAGTTCTCTGCCTCCCCCATACCCAAACCTCATGTTTCAGTCTCTCTATCTGTAAACTGGGAAGAATGACACTGAGTTACTGGTATGAATATCTGATCTGGGTGTTCTCCAGTCACCCCCTCCTCAAGCTGGGACTCAGAACCTCACTGCCCAGTACCTCAGCCCAAGGTGAGCCCTGGGAATCTCCATGGCAACAAACTGGTTATGAACGAGGCTGCAGTTGCCATGGTGACGGGCTGCTCTCTCTCTCTCTCTCTCTCTCTCTCTCTCATCCCCCTCATCTCCCCTCCCCTCTTCTCAATGAACCAGAGCGATCTGTGGGCACCAGCTCTCCAGGTGGGGTGAGGGTGGGGGGGTGACTGCCGTGAGAAGGGGGTCCAGATTGAGAAAGGGGAAAGATGGGCTGAATCTGTAGGGGAATGGGGGGCTGTTGGGGTGCCATTGCCATGGTGACAGGGCTGCAGCCTGTTAATTAAGCCCCTGGTTGCCACGGAGACGATGGTGGTTGACGTGCTCTGCGGCGAGCCCTGTGTGTGTGGGGTGTGCTGCGTGCTGGACTCATCAGTTCACTGAGAGGACGGGCATGTAGTTTGGGGAGAGGAGTGAAAGAGGGAGTTCAGGGCCTTGGCTCCTGGAAGACAGAGCTGGGGTGGCTGTGTTAGGTCACAGGGGTAATGATATGCGGATAAGGATGGATAGGGACTGAGCCATAAGGAGGAATACTGTGCCTGCCTCCTGTGGAAGGAAGTCAGGTGGCTCCAGCTTCAGTGGGTAGAGCCCGGGGCTGGAGGTCAGGGAGCCGGGTTCTAGTCCCCAGTCTGCCGCAAGTTCACCCCATGAAGAAAATTTGTATCTTTTCATCTCTGGACTCTAATTTTCCCATAAATGGGGGGGCAAAAATAATTTATGAAGTCTCTTCCAGTTCCCACATCCTGAGACTTGGACAGCTTCCCTGATTTTTTTTTTCTCTCTGAAAAGCATACGGTGGGACGGGGGTGAAATTCAGAATTCAGAAACAGGACCCTTCCCAGTTCTGCGTCTTGTGTGGCTTGAATGAGAGAGTTTCCCTAGCCCTAGATCTTCCTAGGGCTCTCAGTTGGGATGCTAAGCTGGCAGCCGTGTTCTCAGGGCTCAGAGCTGAGGGTCACCTTGCTGGTGACCTTACTGGCCAAGGCCAGGCTGACAGTGCAGCAGGTACCTGCAGTGGTGTCTTCTCAAAGCCACACTGTAGATGGTTGGTCTGAAGCCAGAATGGGGGCCAGGCTCCTTGAGAGGTAAGGGGTGGGACTCCAAGGGATAGGGTCTCCCCTTGGGGCCATCTCCTTACTGGGTTTGTGCTCCCCGGGGAGGGCTCTATGGCTTTCGTCTGTGATAAATGGAGAGAGCACTAAGCTTTCAGAGTGGGAAGAAGTCCCTTGGATTTATGCAACCTAACCCTTTCATTTTGCAGATGGAGATACTGAAGCCCAGAAAGAGGGACTTATTTTTTTCCCAGGGATACACAGAATTTGGGGGCAGAGGACAGGATAATTTCACTGTGTCTTGAATTCCAGTGCCTTGTGAGATAGGAGCTCCGGCA